AACTAGTGGAAGTATCCGAATCTATTTCTTTTTAATACTCTCTCCCAACCATCTAGTATCCAACTCTCTCAAGTACATACAGTCACTATTATCGCTCTTATATAATTCTTAATTAATTACTATAATTAGTTAATACTTTACCTATCACTATAAGAACGGTAACAATATTATATAATAGTTATCGTGTTTCAACATGTTATAGATCTATACTTTATTTATTTCACTTTGTAATATATATATAAATAACATGTAGATTACTGTAACTCAAATTTGCTATATATGTAACATGAGAATTAACTTAAAATAAACTAAGAAGATTATATTCTGATTTTAACTTTTTATTTTGTCTGTTTCTTTTTGTTTCTTTTATTCACTTTATTTTTGTTTTATTTGTTTTATTTTCTTGTTTTTCTCTTATTTTCTCTTTGTTTTATCTTAGTTTAAGTTTTATTTGTCATTATATTATCTTTGTCTTTTGTAACTATATTTTTGACTTTAATTTATATCATATTATTAGTTTTAGTATTACTTTATTATTATTTAACACATTCAATATTCATTTCACATCTATATTCTTATTAATTTATCATTATCAACCATTCACTATTATCAATTATATCATTCTTATTTAAAATATGCTGTGAATACAGTTACTATTAGCTATTTCTAAATATTCTCATACATAAGAACTAGAAACAGTAGCAATATTAATCAAATTAAATCATATTGATCAATTAATATATATTTTTTATATTATAATTATTTAATATAAGATTAATAATTATAATATAAAAATAGTATGAAATAATATAAATAAAATATGAATAATATAAAATAAAAGAGGATATAATTTATAAATTATATATAAATTAACTATTCAATAAAAATAAGATATAATAAATTATACATGTAATAGAATTAATTCTATCTTTTTTTTACAGTAATTGATCAGATGAATTACTAATTGTTAATAATTAATTGGATAATTATATTAATAAAATGCTGTATTAATATCAGAATTATCAAATATGAAAATACAAAAATATATATATATAATAAATCATGTGATATATTAAAATTTATATTATAATAATATAATTTTTCTTTAGTTCTAACCTTAACTCTTAATCCTAATGCTATAACTAACTTTTAATATTCTTAACCAATCAAAAATCTGGATAAAAATTAATAAAGATGGGATAAATTAATCAAATTACAAGATTAATATGTAATGAAAAAATTCAAACAAATATTTATTTTTGAAAAATAACTTGTACCTCGAAATTATATCTATGAAACTGCTTTCTATGTTCTAACAAAAAATATTTTTTGCAAAATTTTATTACAAACTCTTATATATAATATAATCAAAATTTTGATTATGATTAGGATTAGAATTAGGGTAGAAGTTATATTGGATACAAGAAATATTAGAACAAAAAAAGCAGTTTCATAGGCATAATTTCGAGATACAAGCTATTTTTCAAAAATAAACGTTTTTGAATTTACTAATTTTTTTCAAAGTTCTGATTAATTGAGGATATTAAAGGTTAATTTTAGCATTAGAATTAGAATTAGAACTAGAAAAAAGATTATATATAAAATTTTCTTCCTGACATTTTTTATTAGTGCTTCAAGCCAGATTTACCCATTTGTTTTCCATATTTTTCACATTATTCGTCTTGTTAATTTTCTTGTATCGAATTTGTTTTGCCGGGTTTATCAAAAATTTATGCATATTTATTGTTCAATTTAGAAGACCCGGTGTGCAATCAACCAATTAGCGAATTTTTTCGTTACCATTACACATTAATATTGCGATTTGATTGGTTTACCCCATTGACCGGACAAAAAATTAAGGGTAAAAAACGTGACTTTATTGCTTTCACTGCGTAAATTAAGGGTACTTGCATTTATTTGACATTCTGGCCAGAATTATATGAAAATACAATCGCAAAAATCTGCATTAGGATTCTGCGATATCTGCTGCATTTTGCAGACCTTCAACTTCTACTTATTTAAATATGCAATGGACGAGACTCAAACAGAACGGCTAATAAAAATAATATCAGAATCATTACGTGATGAAGAAGCAAAGTCGACGACTACAGCTACGACGACCACGTTGAAACTAGGGAATAAAGGAATTCGAGAGATGCCAGTGGAAGTCATTGAATTGATTAATACTCATGGCATTGAAAGGTATTAAAATCAAAGATCATTATACACAGTAAATAAAGAAACGAATTATTTATTGTATATTGTCAAATAATAATAATAGACTAGGGCTTGAACAAAATCACCTAACCAGTTTGCCACATGAAATTTGTAAATTATCGAAACTACGGTATCTTGATCTTAATTCCAATGAGTTTAAAACGTTTCCTGTGGTTGTTTGTATCATTTTATTCTTTATTCTTTGAGTTGTATTCGCTTGTGATCGTGATATTTAATCTTTTATTCACTGATCATTTTATCTCAAAGCTTTGTAATATGCAAAATTTAGAAGTGTTGGATCTGAGTAAAAATCAGATTCGAAAGTTTCCCAAAGATTTTGGAAACCTGATCTCGTTAACGGTATGTATATATCAATTTACTATATATAACATACATCAAACAATATTTTTTGCCGTGTATCTGCGTGTTGTTGTATGTGTTTATAAAAATTGAGTCTCTTTAATAGACATAGTCTAATTATTTCACTTAATAACAATAGGCACTAAAAATCTCCAGAAACCGAATAAGAAAACTCCCGACCTATATTGGCGACATGAAAAATCTGCAATATCTAAGAGTGGAGAACAACCAACTACATTTTCCACCAAGAACGTACATTCAGATGCCAAAAAGCAATGATAAAGTTGTGTTACGAAAATGGTTGCTTAACTTAAAAGAGTTTTTGAGGCAATGTCAGATGGGTATTTGTTGTGGCTTTTAGTCTCAGTACTCGATTTTATTCGATACTTTTTGCTTCATGAAATTACTACTTTTTATAATTAGATCAAAATGTTGATCGAAATGATATTGAATTTGAGACGAGCGATAGTAGGTGAGTAATATAAAAATCAACTATAACTATTTTATTCATAATAAGTCTAACCCATATAAAAAATTAGCGACGATGATTTTTTGACACAAGGAGTAGGAGGTAGCGGCAACGGGGAAATATCTAATAATTCATTGAATACTATCAATGAGAATGAGCAAGTGATACAAAGACACGAGCGAAGACGTGGTGGTGGCGGAGGAAATGGTGTGGGCGGAGGACCCTCAAATCTGATTCTTGATTCACCTCGACGTGATAGGAGTCTTAGTAATGATACTTATGATCCGACGACAATGGGGTATCGATTACGATGTCATCATGCCAAAAGTTTTTCACAGGATTCTATTAATTCTTTGAGTAGTCTGAATGAGGATCGTATCAATGGCGGAGATGGTTATTTCCAAAGAATTCGAACATTACCTTCTACAGAATATCTTCAACCAAATGACATTTCATTAAGAGAAGCAAGTCGAAGTATTCTATATTCATTATCACAAATACTCAAAGGAATCGGTCAATTTACGAGTTTCACTGCAACCGAAAAACTATTCACCAAAGAATTGCGTAACGCGACAAAATTCAATGATCAATTAGTTGTCGCATTAGAACAGTTTGATAGTGATTCATTGACAAAAAGACCTGATGGGGATACATGTGCGAAATTATTGAAATCATGTCAATCGAATATTTCGGTATTTCGTAGTTTGATAAGTGCACTTCAACATCAACTACGTAACATCACTCAGTCATCTGATAATATTCGTTATTCGCGTACTCTACTGTTGATGCTTCATGGAGCAATTGCGGAAATAAAATTTGCGTGGGAGACAATTTCACCCTTGTTAAAAGATTACACGCCTTATAGTAATACGTCTACACCATTTAGATTGAGATCAATGTCTCGTTCAAATAGCAATGCTAGTATTGGTGTGGGCAGTGGCGTACAACCTCCTTATTCAACAGGTATTACTCCAACTAATCCATTATCATTGGCATTAGCTTCGTCCGCATCAACAACCACAAAAACAGCAGCAGCAGCAGCATCAAATACTCCGAGTGTACCCTCGACACCTTACTCCTCGTCAATTATACACGGTGCCGATTCATCAATTTCTTCTGTGTCTACTTCTGCGACTTTCGTTCCCGTTATCTTCAATGAACAATTAATGAACAAAGTAGAAACTTCTATTTCCTGTGTTGAACACGTGTTTAAATACCTAATGGAAACAGTTGAACAAGCGCAAAATACCACTTTTGATGATCAACCAGAAATACGAAGTAAAATCAAAAATCTGGAATTACACATAAAATCTAGTAAAGAAGTGACGATTCATCTGAAAAAATCGTTACAATCGACCAGATCAACACCAACATCGTTAATCGAACATGTCATACACGTTAAATTATATGATGAGACTATGGCGTTTATACAGGTATTTAATTTTTTTATTTGTACGATCATTTCCATTTTGTTGATTGTAGCTGAAGTTTACATTGAATTATATAGAAAACCGTCGAAATGATGAGCCTTGTGAAAGACGTGATGGAAGGATACACGATACTACATGAACAAGAAGTTCGACACGGATTAAGACAAGTTAGTAAATCGAATAAAGAGCTATTAAGTCAGATGGGTATACCCAATCCACCACCCACAGCTACTTTCCAATCGTTTAGCGAACATAATAATGTTCAAAATCAACAACAACATCTATATCAACATCAACGGAATTCGTCGAATGAAGAAAATCACCGAAAAATTAGTATTAGTGAGGGAACTGTTTATACTGGTGAAAATAATAGTAATAATAATATTATCAGCAATAACAGTAATCCTAATAGTAATAACAGTAATCCTAATAGTAATAACAGTACTGCTAATAATAATAACAGTAATACTAATAGTAATCGACAGCAGGTGATTGTTGGTGGTACTATTACCGGGGTGGATGATGCGACGGTATCTCTTTCTACGAACACTGAAGAACATGATCATGTTAATCAGAAAAATTTTAATGAGAATAATGGTAATACGGAAGAAGCTGAGGAAGAATCAGGGAATAATATAGATATAGATGATGATGGCGATGGCGATGGTGATAGAAGAGAAGAATTCGCGGTGGCGATTTAGCTCGATTCTTTTATTTTATTTATTTTATTTATTATATTTCAAATATTTATACTTTTACGATTACACAATGAAACTATAAGATAAAGTCTCCAGGCTGGTTATTTTTTATAGAAGTAAATTTAATAATAGTTTATTATATTTTGGGGACAAAAAAATATATCATAGACCCACTTTAGCTTTACCTTATCGAGTTTCACTGTGTACAAAAGAATTGATTATATTAAAAAATAGCTAAAAATAAAAAACTAATGTCAAATCCTATTGTTTATTAGAAATTTGTTTCACCGAATATTTTTTGTTATTTGGCCAATTTTGGAAATTTTTAAATCGGTTGTGAAATCAGATCCGCTTATGGATTTTTACAAATATATGTAACGGAACACGAAAATTAACTTTCTAGAATTTCTATTTCCATGACTATTAGTTCAAACAAAATAATATTTTTTTTTAATTTGACAATAGATTATTTTGTGATTTAAATCAAAATTTACAATTAGTAAATTTCTCGCATTGAACAACTTTTTTCTAATTTGAACCACTAAAAATGTTACACTACCAATTTTCATAAAAATTTTACTGAGATTTAACCCGAAGGATCGAATCTATGCTAGAAGCATCCCTACACCACATAACATATCACGTGAAAGTGAAATTTTTGCCTTAAATTCCGTAACTAAATTTAGTATAATTAGATTCTGCATTTCATCACCAGATGAATTGTAACATATTAATAATAATCAATACTAAGTATTACTAAATAAAGTTATTATTTCTTGCATGAAGATGTTTTATGACAAGATTATGACTTCATCTTAAATATCATTGATATCTCTATTTATTTTTTATATTTCTGATCCTTCAATATTCTAAATGTTTTCATATCAACTACATGTTTTTGATATATATGTCTCATTTTGAATTATTATATGAATTTCTTTCTCTTCTAATTTTGAAATTAATTGTTGTTGAAACTTGTAATAAAATCAACAAAGCATTTTATATATATTGTTATCATTTTTGTGGAATTTATATTATTCACATGTTTCTATAAACTTAAAGATAAAAGAGACTAAGTTTTTATATTGTGAAAGACTAAAAACTATTACTAAAAATAATGTTTTTATTAATTCAAAAATTGTTAAAATTAATGAATTAACAAAATAATATAATAGTGAAAGAATAAAGACTGAATAATTTACAATTAATGGGATTCACTAAAGATTTTAAAGATCTCTTGTGGTGATTTGTTCACAAATTAACTAATTGCTAATAATAAAGAATAAAAATAAGTGAAAAGATAAAATGAAAATATAAAAAAAATTAAAGAAATTATTAAATAGCTAAAAAGCAAATAGAACTTATTGATAATGTCTTGAACTTGATTAAAAGTCCAGTTCAAGTTCAAGTAAATATTTAAATAAAGTTATAAATTAGAATTAGAGCTACAAGTTGGTATAAGATAATTGATATTGAAAATGAATATTCAAAAAGATATTTAGATTTAAAAATTATTTTTATTTTTTATAATTTTAGTTACTTTATAATAAATATTTATTTTTGCTATAGTAATAATAAATTATAAAATTTATGATAAAATTTAATAATCATAAAAATAAAAATAATTTAGTTATCACTACGTAAACTTTTAATTCTTATTAAATAGTATAATTGGCACTTATAATTATAGTCAAATCTCTTTATAATTACATCTATTTATAGTTACATCTCTCTATAGTCACTCTATTTTGCTTTTTCATTTATATATAAATATAGTAAAAAAATCTCTTTATAATTATATTTTCTTTATAATCACCCAATTTTGCTTTTCTAAAGATGATGACTATAAAGAAATTTTTATAATAATTAAAATTGTAGCTCTTATTTAGAGTTATAATTTGATATATAATATTATATACTAATTTTTAATTGAACTCAAACCAGACTTGAACTTGTACAATAGTTTGGTTCAAGTTCAGTTTGAACTTTGAGCTTTTTTTGAATTTAAGTCAAAGTTTAGTTTGAGTTCAGTTCAAATTTTAAATCAAATTCAAATTTAGACAAAAGTTTAACTTAGTTCAATTTAGTTTATAGAAATACTAATATGGAACAATTCTAAAATAATATAATACTAATATTTATTAATAACTTAATTAATATTCAAGAGTGCAAAATATAAGTATATTAATAAATATAATAGTTATAAATTAATTAATTAATATACAAATTTCATTAATAATAAACAAGGAATAAGTTATTAATTAACTAAATTTTGTTATAATCAATTAATAATGCTCAAGATTTTATTTTATATTGTATTTATATAATTTAAAAGTATATTAATATAATAAATATATTTGATATAATTAATATTATATATATTTTCGTATTCTTATATTTAATAATTCCAATATTAATATAATATCTTATTAATATAATTATATAATTAATTATTAATTAATAATTTATCTAACTAATTATCATAAAAAAAGATAAAATTAATTTTATTATATGTATAATTAATATATTTAATATAACTAATTTAATAAATATATTAAATATATTGAATATTTTATATATATTATTAAAAAGTTATGAATTTAAGAAATTAAAATTATAAATTATAAATTAAAAAATTATGAAATTAAAATTAGAAATTATGAAATTATGAATTCTAATAACATAATTCTAATTATATAACTATTTAAAGAAATTTTCTTTATATATATATAATCTCTGTAATTTTTTTTATTAAGATTTTTTTTTATATTTATATATAATTTAAGTTTTTCATTAAGTATTTGAGATTTTATCCATTCAAATATTAGAATTATTATAAAAATAATAATTTATATTTTATCTAATAATAGTGTTATAAACATATTTTATCAATTCAAGCCATTTCTTTAAGATCTTTTTCTAAGAATAATTCAAATATGTTTTAATTAATATTTGATTTACAATTATTTCAATTTTTAATTTTTTTTTGCTTTATATTTTTATTATTTTTGTTTTCTTTTGTTTTTTGTTCTCTTCAATATATAGTTGCAATAATATTTTGTAATAATTCATATTTATCAGAACTTGATTTGTTAAAGAGAACCACAAGTTTTATAAAATGTAATTAGAACATATATTCAATGAGATCAAATATGAATTTGCAGAATCAGTTATAATGAATAATCACAATTTTTGAGATCATTTCTTTACTTGATCATTCAAATAAGATCTTAAATCCATTTTTTTTGAAGTTGATACCTGATCTGACATCACTAACAAGTTCACAATTTGGGAATCTGGATTAAGGATCTGTTTCTGTCTTTCAAGATCTTCTTTTTGTTTGTTACTTGAGACACATGTGTATAGGAAACCTTTCTTTTCAGTAATGAAGATGGTTGAGATATCATTTTGAGTAATCAACTCTGGAAAAAAAGAAATAATATTATAAAGATGAGTCCCGGATGGAGATGTCTTCGTGGAAATTTTTCCCTGTTTTAATCAACATCTCAAAGTATCAAGTGAGAAAAATTCTAATTCTGAAAATATAAGGATTTTTGATTTTTTTATTAATATGATCTAACGCTAATAAATCTGTGTTTCTTCAACCTACCGTAATTTGCCATTTAGAATATCCCCCTATAATATCAACCCCCCATGAATTGTACCTGGTCCGATGCATGGTTTACAAAGTGAGTAGAATGTAACATACCCCCCCCCCCCCTTGTAATTCTGGTCAAATATAGGTTCTGGCTGAAACTATTATTTCTATATAGAATATCCTCATATAATATCCTCATATAATATACCCTCCTGCCGTAGTGTACTCCCCCGGGTACAAATCGGATTTTAGCTGGTGGAATGTAACATATCCGGGGTATTCTAAACGGCAAATTACGGTAATCTAATAACATAATAAGCGTTACTAAGCAATTCATTATATCATTTATCGAAAAATTTCATCGCCGGTTGAAAATCGCCGTATTACTTTTAGCGAAAATAGTGATGAAATTATTACGAAAAGAATCATGAAAATCGAAAAATGAAAATCGAGTGTTTCCAAATATAGATAAAAATCAGCAGCCATGTAATTCACTATGACACTAGTTATATGCTCTGTGTGTGACCCTATTACCTTTTTCAATATTCACATTTCGGAAATTTATAACGATAATGTATAGCTTCTTTTCTGCAATTCTGAAATTTATATAACTAGTTGTTGAAGAATCTTCCAATTCGATTTTATAAAAATGAGTCTGTAAGTCTTTTTCTTGGTTTCTCGTTTGAGTATGTGAGAGTACTTATTAATGAAGTTAATATATGAAATTGACATTTTTTTATACTTTTGCATACTATTACTTAAAATAAAAAAGCAAAGGTGTAATGAAAGCCGTGGTACGCGTCCCACATCGGATACGTGGTGAAAGTAAGTGTTGACAGCTGTTTCTTTATTAAAAGAGAGGACAGGCAGATACGAAGCTTTATGTAGTACATAGTTAAAAAAATCGATGGCAGGAACTTGTAGTAGTAGTAGAAATAAGTGTGTATATCACTCGACTTCTTGAATAAAAAATTAATTTTATACAATCATTATTACTAAGATTTTTTTCTTCGATAATTTACAAGAATCAATCAATATTCAATACCCCAATTAAATACACAAATATTTTCTTTATTATTAGAGAAAGCAAAAAATTAATAGTATCCATAATAATCAATCATCATATTTATATATACAAAAACAACATATACATAATATACATATATAATCCATAATTAATTCTCATACAGCTACTCATGACACTGAATTTGATGATTTAAACGCACGATTTTCTGAACTTAGTAAAAAGACTGAGAGATTACATTCAGATGCGGTAAAATTTCGAGATGCAGTCTCAGGTACAGTTTTTGCTCATTTTATTACTACTATAAATTTTCAAGAGATTTTATTTATTTCCGACTAATCTCGATCTTTCTTTTAATTTTTTTGGTCGATATTTTGTTTTCGTTCTGTGATTGTTTAAATTTAAAGGTATGCTCAACTACCAAGCTAATTTTGCCGAGCTCATCGAAGAAGTTTATAGCCCGGTGACTGGTGGAATAGCCTCCGAAGCAGGAACAACTCGCCGTGTTCAGACGCCTGTACAGTCAATGAAAGCGGCCTCAGAGTTTTTTGCTATAATGACAGAAATTAGAGACACGATATTGCCAGAGTTGGTTTGTATTTTATATATATACACAAATTCGATTTTTGAAGAATTATTCGAACAACTTTTTATGTATTTTAATTTCCCGGAAAAAAGGAACTTATTGATCGTAGAGTAATCCAACCAACAGGCGATTTCCTAACAATCATCAAATTAATCTCGAAAACTATCACTAAACGCGATCATAAAAGAATCGATTTCGATAGACATAGGTCGAGCGTGAGGAAAATTCGCGATAAACGAGATAAATCGTTAAGTGACGAGAAAAATTTGTACAAGGTATTTTTATGGCGCCTTATTGATTTTTATTTCTGAATGAAATTCTAATAAATAAATGATCAATAACGAAAAGTTGGAAGAACAACTTGACACGGCCACAAAAGACTACGATTATTTCAACGACCTTTTAAAAAAAGACCTTCCGCAATTTTTCGAATATCGTACCCAATTCATTGAACCTATTTTCGAGGAATTCTATCACATGCAAATGAAAATCTATGGTCTTTTGCTGGACCGGATGAACCAATTAGTGGACACCGGATACTTTGATGTGAACTCTGATATCATGAACGGGTTTGATGAGAGACGTGGTGATATTCAGGAAAAGATGGAGGTATTGACGCTGCTTGGACGACGAGCAAAACATGAGGAACGACGTAATAGTAGTAATAGTGGTAAGAGGGAAGGGGATTATTTTGAGTAATTGCATATTTTATGTATTTTAAAATGGCTTGCGTTTTAATTGATATTTTGCTTCATTCTTGGGAGCAGACTTACAAGTTGAACAATCACAATCACGACCGTTGAACTCACGATCATCAGGCAGTTCGAAAACACGTATAACCAACGAAGAATTAATAGACGAGGTAGAAGAATACGACCACGAAGACGACGTGCCACCGCCGTACACAGCTTCGCCTACTAATTATCCATCAAGAGGCATAAATAACAACAATGAAAGTGGCACTACCACTAGCAGAGTTGCCAGTCTTCGTAACAATTTCAACAATAATGATAACAATAGTAGCAATGCAAAGTCAGCGTCCGCCGCAACCATCAAGCCCAAAAAACTACCGCCGCCACGTCCCCCCACAAAACCAGCCATTAAATACGTGATAGCACTGTATGATTACGATGCACAGGCGGATGGCGATTTGACTTTTAAAAAGGATGACCGTATTCAGTTGGTTGAACGAACTGAGGATAAGAATGACTGGTGGACGGGGAGACTTAATGGTGTGGTTGGCGTGTTTCCAGGTTTTTAGTTTTTAATTATTTTTCATTATTATTTATGTCATTTGTTGTTATTCTAAATCTGATTTATGAATTTTTAGGAAATTATGTTGAAGAACTTTGAACAAAGCAAACAATATCTAGTGTTTGTAAACGTAATTAATCAAACAACATTATACTTATTTTATAATAATTATTGTGATTAATCTTATTATATCGTTTTTTGTGCAAGATCAAAGTCGGTGTTTTTTTATTAGAATCTTTGAGTTATCAGAATATCTATTTTTTATTGATTTTGGAACATGTAGACAATCCTACCGCTTGATAACCGCAGTTTTTAGTTGATTATCATTATTATTTATACATGTACATGGGTTTTTCGCGATCTGCAAGCCACAATTATGATGTATTAGTGAATGCATATTGTTCGCTATCGATTACTACGTATTTTATTACAAGTATTCAAGTGGGTGTTACGCCAATACGTATGGTTAGTTCAAGAAAAGATGAGTCGAAAAGTATAACAAGTACACCAAACTTCTTTGCTTGATCCGACAATACGTATTAGCGTCAAAGCGATATTCCTATAACAATAACGATGACACGCGAATTTTTACTAATTACACAACCATATCAGCGATGTAATAAAAAAATTACCACGCAAATTATGAAACGATCTATTATCGTTATCGATACACGTACGATATTGAAATTATTTATTTAGTCGAAATCTATATAAAACCGCCCACCACCACGGTAAAAACACATAATTTTCTTTTCACATACAACCTACGATACGCAAAATGCGCGACACACAGCATTTTAGGACTAGGACTAGGACTAGAACTTGACACTATGGTATAAAATGTGTTGTGTTTAACTTGTTTGATATGCTTGACAATTAGAACGGATGGTAAAAAACTTGTGCTTGTTGTGCTTAACTTGCTTAACGATTAGAACGGATGAAACGGACAGAACGAATGGTAAAAACTTGTGCTTGTTGTGTTTAACTTGCTTGACAATTAGAACGGACGAAACGGAACGGGTGGTAAAAACTTGTGCTTGCCGCTCGTGACTTGTTTATTTTCTATGCAATAGACCAAGAACGGCGGAAGCGGGCCGGTTGAACAACCCACCACCACGCTGCGGAAAAGCCTGGTGGAGAGGGCGTTGGGGATCTTCGGAGACTTTGGATTGGAAGAGTAATAAGTATTAAACTAAATAAACTAAAACTAATTACATGAATGCCGTGTTGCCTCGCTTCGCTCTGCTTTTTTTGCTTTTTATCCACTACAGATATGGATCTTCGCAAAGCAGCCGGTCCGAACAACCCGCTACCACGCTACGAAAAGCCTGGTGGAGAAGGCGTTGGGGGTGCCCTATGAAGAGAGCCCTTGAGGAGAGCTGAAAACGACGGAAATTCATGGAGTGAAAGAGCAAAGTGTATATTTTTTATTGTGTTGATTGTGATTTTTTATTATTGGCTCCAGAAATGCCTAATGGATTTCTCGGGTCTTGGCATTGCTCAAATACGAAGCCAAGTGATGAAGTCCTGTGAGCTGGGACGAAACCCAAGAATACATAATGCAAGAAGACATGTTGCAAAAAAATCGAGACAAATTTTATTATCGCATTAGAACATTTCAATCATTAAAGCACCATTTCTTAAAAAGCTATTTTAATGAGACTTCCTCTCGTCTTTCTTACGCAATGGAGCACCTTTTTCACTCGCAAATATTGGAGGCATATCACTTTTTCCGTGGCATATACTTATTTTTTTCACGTTTGTACACGCCACTTATCAAAAAATACCCATTGCCTCCTAAACATAAACACTTTAGCTGCGACTAAGTATAGTTCTAATTCTAATCCTTAATATTAAACATAAAACGTGGTTCTAAGTAAGAGTTCATTACCGAATTTCCCAATTCTCGCAATTTAATGTTTATTTATTTCTCAAAAACCAATTACCGTTACGACGATAACAAATTTTTCGATCGACATAGTAACTGTGAAACTGAGTCTTGAATTAGTAATCAGTGTATTTAAACGCCTACAATTAAACCTATATATTCCTAATCAAACATCACATTCTGATCATGCCCAATAAGGAAATATACGTGTTCTGCAAGGATCATGAAGGTCCCAGGGGGTAGGTCCCAGCGCCGGCATAAACCGGCTCTTTAGATGTAACGGTAAGATAGCGAAGTAGTATATTGCGAGCACCGTTG